GAAAGTAGATTACTTCATCATATCTACTAATTAATTGTGTTTTCCTATGTCTTGGTACTCTTTATATTCCAATTTGTCTGACCTACTTTTCTATTTAGTCCGATTTTAAAAACTTGCCTTTTTCTCTTTTTAGCAACTTCTTAATTCCAACTTTTCACGTGAAACATTTAAATCCACAATATTAAAGGATATTTTGGTACATTTGACATATTTTTAGTTTAAGACCACAAAATTCATAAGTCTTTTTATTTTCTTAAACTCTGGTCAAGTCAAGATAGGTCAAATAAATTGAAACAAAGGAAGTAGAAGTCATTAGCAATAAGGAAGTTGTTCCTCCACTTTCTCATTTCAATATAGTAAGAAATCATTTACTTGTTATTTGTTGGGTGGCTAACCATTTGAATTCAATAGAAAGATAAGCATAAACTTAGTTTTGAGTACTTCAACTCAAGAGATTATAGGTTATGTCTTATCGACCGAACACCATAGGTCGAAGGAAGAAAATATCTGATTCATCTTGCAACATCTCATAACTACATTAGTATCAGGGAACCGTAATAGTGCAATTTCCAGTTTGAACTTTTGACAAGTTGAAAAATGTAAAAGTTGCATACTTCCTTTGTCCCAATTTATATGACATATTCTTTTTGGGATTGCCTAAATTATTCAATACCATTCCATTACATATAACTCCCAATTTATATGAAACATTCCTTTTAAATTTCCTAAGTTGTTCACACCATTCCATTACACAAAACTCCAATTTATATGACACATTCCTTTTGGGATTGCCTAAATTGTTCAACTTCATTCCATTACAATTAACTCCCAATTTATATGACACATTCCTTAATGGAGTGCCTAAATTGTTCAACACCATTCCATTACATATAACTCACACATCAGTGAAGAATCAAAATTTGATTTAGTTCGGATTTTAGACTATGTCATGATATCAAACTAAACTTTCCGTCGTTACTTTAATATTCTCTTCTACTACTTCTGATAAAGTATCTGAGTCAAATAAACATCTTAAATCCATCCCCAATGAAGCAACATGGCATAAAACAACCAGAAGGAGTATTTACTATGTAACTGTAAATGTCAAAACTCACTTTTATTTGTAAAGTAACACTAAGTCTATCTCAAAAATATAATTCTTAACCTCAGGTCATTGAATTCCTTGATTCCAGCTTATCTTAAGCTAATCATATAAACATTTTTTTAAAATTCAAATTTTACAAAAATCTATTTCCCTAATACTCGCCGCAGCAAGAAAGCATACCAAATTGAGGGTTGAAAGACAACAATTGAAACTCACCAGCATGAGTCGGCACAACGTGAACATTACGATCACGGGATCTAATTGACTCAATTCCAGCTTCAATTTCAGCCTCTAATGCCTCCAAATCCTCCTTCACTTGATTGGACTCTTTGTCAACCTTCACCGCCTCTTCTACACCGACCTCGGCCTTTGGCAGAACCTCCGATTCGATCCTAACACCAAAACCTGACGGAGAAGCAGCACTGGCAGCTGCAGCTGCGGCGTTGTTTGGCTGCTGCCGAGCTCTTGTGAGCGGACCATTGTGGATCGGTGGGAAAGGTGCTGCTGACTGCTTCTGACGCTTCGACAAAGTCGAGGGGGGAGTTGAACTGGCGCCACTTCCAATGGCGCTTGCTTTTCGTTTGTTGCCACCACCTCTCCGACGCGACGTAGGCGCCTCAGCGGACGGAACGTCAGCCGATGTCATCGGCGTGTCGGCGGCCGGCGGTGGAGTTCCGGTGTCCTTCCGTTTCTCCTCCATTAATTGAGAACTGAAGTACTAGCAACTACGCTTGAATCGTTGTTTCGTGAAGGATTTTATATTTCAGCCTCAGGGTTGATACGGTGCTCCGTCGGTACATTTTATTTACAGTGGATTTCACTAGCAATTTATTGAATTTCTTTTTGTTTACTTAATACTTTTATTAAAATTTGGTTATTTGATGGTTTTATATTTTAACTAACTACTATCAGCGTCAAAGGATTTTCAATCATTCGGTTCAATTTTATATATTATTAATTTTATATTTTAATTTTAAACTAATTTTGAATTAATAAGATATTTTTATTGAATTTTAGTCGTTAATATTTCTATTTTTAATTTGTTTATCGGTAATAAAATGCGACTTCTCATTTTTCTAATAATTTGGTATTAAGTAATTGATTTGATAAAGTGAATTAGTGAAACAAGAAACATAATATTTAATTATGTTAAATTACAGTGTAGAGTATTGATAAAGAGTCTACTTATGTTAAATTATTCGTAATTAATAATTATGAAAGGTAAAGTAGTAAATTACTATCGTCTTAACTCTTAACAAGTTATCAGTTTAAATCAATAATACAATACTAAAAATTGAAATCAAATGATAATCCGATAATTTTTCTATAAACTCATTAAAAACTCGCCCATCCAATAGCAATAACTCAATAACATTAGTTTATTAATCGATTCGATTTTTGCACGCGTTTAGTTTCGATTGACCAATGGAGACTAGATATAAGAACAAGTTGATATCGTATAAATTATTTACAAATTTATAGTGATAAAATTTGATCTCTTTTTAAATTTAATTCCTCTATTAGATGATAATTTCATAAATTGAAGTCTCTTCACAAAGGTGATTAATGAGGAAATGAAATGAGTCATTTTTTTATATCTATCCTAAATAATTTTCGACGTAAATAAATTTTCATATTTTTTCATAACTATTGAAATATTATTTCTATTGATGTTATTGTTGTCATTAAACGTTTTTCTCATTCAGAGGGTCTTTTGCCTTCTAAAATCACACGTTTATTATTTTAATTTGCAAGAATGAAGATTCATAGTATTGTTAGTAGTCAAACGAATCAATATGTAAATTACAAATTTATTATAGAATCCTCACTAACATATTATAGCTAGAATTAAAAAGGTATACAAATGAAATAATATCACCTTATCAATCTGTATTTATAGGTTAGTAAATAAATTATTGAGAATATTGTTATAGCTCGCATTACATCTCTGTGTTCTTAATATTTTAATCATAATTTATACAGATGCGTGGTATTTGTTGAAATTTAAATACTAGTAATATTTTCATAAAAAAAACATTTATGTGTTTCATTGTTCCTCTTAAATAGTTTTCTTTTTAGTAGTGAAAGTAAAATAAAATAATGAATCATTACTGCCTTGAAACTTCCACAATTGATTTATCATCGTAAAATTTAGAGTTCACACAATAAAATTGCAGCTCAAAAGTGTGGATTGATCGGTGCATATATATTTTGAAAAAAGTTCTTGATTGTTTAAGAGTGTGTGTGGTATTGGAAAATGTTTTCCAATTTTCTCATATTTGGTTGGGGCAAAAGTTTTGAAAAATATTTTTTCCAAATCAGCTTATTTTTCTGAAAATTAAGGAAAATTTTCCTTCAAAAATTAAGGAAAACATTTTCCAAAGCTCTCCTCCAATTTCAAATTACATTTTATTTTAGGAAAAACATCAATTTTTTTTAAAAAAAAAATCAATTTCAAAATTTTATTTTTTCACGTGATTCCTGACTTCCTCCCCCTAACCCCACCCCCTCCCCAAAAAATTAATTTTGTTTTTTTTAAATATTTTCAGCTTTAAATTTTTATTTTTAAATTTCTACCTCTCCCCCAACTAGCCCCCCTACCCACCCTACCCGCCCCCCAACCCCACCCCCAACCCTAAAAATTTAATTTTACTTTTTTAAAATACTATCAACTTCAAATTTTTATTTTTTCACTCCAAACCCCTCCACCTTCCCCCACCCCCACTACCCCCCACCCGCCACCACCACCCAAAAAAAAATTATTTTTACAAAATATTTTCAATTTCATAAATTAGTTTCTGCTCTAGTAAAAATAAAAGATGTTTCTCAAAAACATTTTTCATTCATAAATCAAACACTAAAATTCATTTCCGAAAAATAATTTTTACTCACCAACCAAACATGAAAAAATAAGTCCAAAATCTACTTATTTTACAGGAAAACATTTTCCTTCATACCAAACACACCCTAAATGTAAATCTTTTATTACTCTCTCCATAGTCCGTCCACTATTGTTTGTCAAGATAAAGTTACATACAACCTTTAAGAAAATTTAATATAAGGTGCAATTTGATTAATAACCCTACTATCAATCATTATTAAAATGGTTGATAGTATTTGAGAAATGTAAAAATAACTTTTTAGCATTAAAATAGTCTTGTATGTTGTAACTTTAAAATGGTTACTGAAACCAAAAGATATGTGATTATTAACGGCAGAATTGAAAAAAGTGACTTATTATTTTTTATTGTTTAAATTGATAATTAATTTTGGACATTTTTTTTAGTGTACCTGACAAACAATAGTGGACGGAGGGAGTAGTAAAATGAACATTATTATTTTTCCCTAAAATAAAAGATAAACTAAGCAAACACCGCATAAAAACAAAATAATTATAAATAAATATCCCATTATTACATTCTTTCATACCACAACATTATACATATATTCTTATAGTATCATTGACTAACAAGTAATTTCTGAATAAGAAATTTTAATAATACCATATATATAGATTTAGTATTAGTTAAGCAAAATTATCAGCCTTAATAATATCAATACAATTTTTGATACTGATTTAGTTTAGTTAAGCGAAAATTATCAAGTTTAATGAATGTGGGTATGGGCTATATTCTCCTATATTAGAAAAGGCATAATCAACATGACTGCTTCATTGTTTAAGGGTTATTTTTGTCTTTTCAACTATGTATATGGCTAGGTGTCTTCTCCTTGGTTAATCAATTTTGTTTTTTCAATTTCTTAGATAACGTGTCTTCTTCTGGTAAAATCAGTATGCATGTCTTCCTCCTCCTATGTCTTCCTCCTAATTCTTCATTTATGATGATTCACTGGTTACACATCGAAGTTCACTCTCTTCAGCGTTCTCCAAGTAAGATTTACATGTTTCAATTAAGCTTTCTTTTTTCGTCATCTTGCTTTTCAATCAATGTTGAAGTTTCAAATTTGATCTGGATATGTGAATATTCATTTATTTTTCCATTTGGAATTGTTATTGACGTTGGATTATCCTTTTAGTTGGCTGATTGAGATTGATTTGGGTGGGTGAATATACCAAATTTGATTTGGGTATGTGAAAAGGCATAATCAACAGTCTGCTTCATTGTTCAAGGGTTATTTTTGTCATTTCAATTATGTATATGGCTAGGTGTCTTCTCATTGGTTAATCAGTATTGTTTTTTCAATTTCTTAGATAACGTGTCTTTTTCTGGTAAAATCAGTATGCATGTCTTCCTCCTAATTCTTCATTTATGATGATTCACTGGTTACACGTCGAAGTTCACTCTCTTCAGCGTTCTCCAGGTAAGATTTACATGTTTCAATTAAGCTTTCCTTTTTCGTCATCTTCCTTTTCAATCAATGTTAAAGTTTCAAATTTGATTTGTATATGTGAATATTCACTTATTTTTCCATTTGGTTTTGTTATTGACGTTGGATTATTCTTTTGGTTGGCTGATTGAGATTGATTTGGGTGGATGAATATACCAAATTTGATTTGGGTATGTGAAATTTGATTCTTGTTCCATGTTATTCTCCTATATTAGAAAAGGCATAATCAATATGTCTGCTTCATTGTTCAAGGGTTATTTTTGTCTTTTCAATTATGTATATGGCTAGGTGTCTTCTCCTGGGTTAATCAATTTTGTTTTTTCAATTTCTTAGGTAACGTGTCTTCTTCTGGTAAAATCAATATGCATGTCTTCCTCCTCCTGTGTCTTCCTTCTAATTCTTCATTTATAATGATTCACTGGTTACACATCGAAGTTCACTCTCTCCAGCGTTCTCCAAGTAAGGTTTACATGTTTCAATTAAGCTTTCTTTTTTCCGTCATCTTCCTTTTCAATCAATGTTGAAGTTTCAAATTTGATCTGAATATGTGAATATTCACTTATTTTTATATTTGGGATTGTTATTGACGTTGGATTATCCTTTTGGTTGGCTGATTGAGATTGATTTGGGTGGATGAATATACCAAATTTGTTTTGGGTATGTGAAATTTGATTCTTATTCCATGTTACAAAAGTCCCAATAATTTTAATCTATTTGGGTGATTATAGTTTCCGTTTTGTATTTTGAATTTCCGCTTCAAATTTCTGGTTGTCTTCTCCTTTTCATGTATATAAAACCATATATTTTTACATGCAATAACTTTTGGTTCTCTTTGTCAGATGTAGCAATCAACAATTTCTCTTTCAGAATTCTGAAACAAAGTGACATCACAAACACAAGTGATACATACACTCTTACTTTCTTGATGAAACAAGCAGTAAACAATATAAATTAGAATTGAGCTCCTCCTCATACCAAACAATGAGTATTTGTGTACTTTAGCCCAAAACAGAAGAGAAAGCCCATTTCACCAAATGTAGTACAATTTTTAAAGTCCAATGCCAACAAAATAGTATAAATTTAAGGAATCTCATAGTGTAATACAATAATTGTATTCTGTCCCGACAAATTTAGTATTTACTAATAATCCCTTAAAATTGTTGTGGCATGATACATTAGTATGTTGTGATACATGGTAAATGATACACCGTAACTTAAAACTGTTAAGATTAAAAAGGGGAAAAACGGAATATTTAAATTTGTTATCTAAATCAACTTAAATTACGGTAACCGTTCATTAATAAGCATTAATTCAGCACGTAATTGGATAACAATTTCAAATTTTGAAAATTCAAGATTATATCATCTAGTTTGAAGACATTTTTATGAACATTCAGTTATTATACTTATTGACTGATACATGATAACAATTTTTAAAAACTCGTGATACATAGAAAATCATATGATACACATCAAATTCATGTAATCAATGCATCGTCTAAACACTATAACACACTGAGTCGATATGTATCAGCAAGCACACTTGATGGCGTAGTTATTAAACTTATTGACTGATATATGATAACAATTTTCAAAAACTCTTGATACATAGGAAATCATATGATACACATCTAATTCATGTATCAATGCATCGACTAACACACTATAACACACTGAATACTTATGTATTAAATTTATTGTCCTGATACATAATAACAATTTTTAAAAATTCTTGATACATATGGGGTTGCTGCTTCTTTTTTTCCTTTTTAGTGTATTTTGTCAACCTTTGATTTAGATGATTCGTCAAGATCTTTGTTTGAATTCTTCCGAACATTTATAGGATCATGCAAAGACTTTTTTCTATTTTCTTTCCAATTTTCATCGTCCGAATTATAAATCTTTTTATTAGTAAAAAGATCCATTAATATGATGTAATAGAACAATGGACAAAAAGAAAAAAAGAAAAGAAAAGAAGAACAGATGATGGAGTAAGAAGAAAAAGAACACCTAGAGACAGCTGATGTAATATAGCAATGAACAAGAAGAAAAAAATAGAAGAAAATAAGAACAGATAATGGATTAAGAAGAAGAAGAAAAAGACTATAGACGGATGCTGGAGTAAGAAGAAGAAGAACCAGAGAACAATGGTCCAATTTTCAGAAATTTCAATTTTTTTGAATTTTGAAATTCAAAATTTCATATTAAATGTTGTGAAACGTTTTTAATTAAAATTAATAATTCAAAATAAAAAAGTGATTCAAAAGACTGAGTGTTTTAGTGGAGAAAAAATAGGCATGATATTGGGAAGTGTGTGTTATAGGAGAGAGAAGACTATGTATCTCTAAACTTCTACTAAAATTAAAAAAAAAAGAATTATATAATATTTAAAAAAAGAAGAGAAAATTAGAGAATACTAAACTTATCATTGTGTATTTAAATTATTTTTCCAACAAAATATAACCCAAGCCTAGTCCATCAACCCAAATCTTTTGATCAAATACCTCTCATCCCAATTTGGGTGTATGGTGACGAGATGCTTCGAAAAATATTTTTTTCTAGAAAAATAAGTTCCTCTAGTGAAGCCTTACGTTCATTGTCTCCTTACCCCCAAGGCCCCAACCCAAACATCCCCACCCCTCTTTCTGACTGCCACCACATTTCACATTGTACTATTTTATTAGATTATACATAAATACTTTTGGATAATATTTTTTATGCTCATTTACTAAAATATTAAATAAAAAGTGGAGCTGTTTCCCTATATATCGTTCACAGATATAGACCTAATTAAACTTGGATTTTTGAATCTAACCAGTAGTCTTTTAGTTCGTGTTAAATGGAGAGGGAGCAACCAATTGTAATACCTGGACAGTGATTGTTGAAGGCACATGACCAAAAAAAAATTTGATTCCCTATCATTGATCACTTACGCTACGATAAAAATGATTATTAGTTATATTTAATTCTTAATTGTCGCTAAATATATATTTTTAGCAGCAATTGTCATTTTTTGTATATGTCCCTAAAGTTTTTAGCGATATTTGTTCTAATGTCACTTAACTAATACCGATAAAGACTTTATCACTTTTTATTAGTATCAATATTTAATGTCACTAAAAATTATTTTTATTATAACATTAATTGCTATTATAATTTATTTTACTGCTATTAAAGTGGAACTTGGGACCAATGTCCATCGTCCAATAATGTCCAAGTCAAGGAAGTGTATGTAAAGTTTATACTTTATAGGTTCAAATTCGTAATTTATCATTATCGCCAAATCTAGTGGATTCAAACTAGATTCAAAATTTATATTCATTAGTATATTTTAACATATACAAAGTAAATTTCAAAATGATGATAGGCAAAGTGTATAAGAATAATAATATTTAGTATGTATTAGTATTGTTTGCAATAGCAATATACGTATTAGTTATATTTACATTAATTGTATTTAAATTATTTTTATGCATTATTTAATTTGATGTATCCAACGGCTATTTTGGTATCCAGAGAATAAAGTCACTTGATCCAACGGCTATTTTGGTTTGACCCCTTCTTAAGAGTGGATATAATATAAAAGAAAATGGTCGATTAATTAATTCGGATTAATAGGCAAGAACACGTGTATCTCACGCGTGCAATTGTCATTTATAATAATAATTTTTTTTTCAACTCAATCACTTTTTATACATTTATAATATTGTTTTAATGCAAATGAATTTTATTGATAGATGATATATTCATTAAACATTTTAATACACTTATAATATATGTGTTAATTTTTTACCAAACAAGCATGATATATTTTTAAAAATATATAATACATATATATTGCGTACATAATTCACTTTTAATACATGTTATATATTTAACATAGTATTGCTATAAATGATAATAAATAAAAATTATCGCTAAAGTAAGTAATTATTTATTAAAAGGTGCTCATCCAAGTAACTTTTTCTATTACACCCTTCTTTTTTTAAAAAAAAAAAACCTAGTTTCACCGAACACAAAAATTAAGAAATTTAAAATTTTAGTCTTTTCACTGTAAATATATCACATGAAAAAATGAAATTAGAATGTTGCTAAAAAATGAAAAGGATCAAACCTTCTTCCAAACTCACTAAAAAGGAAAAAATGTCATTTTTTATCAAACGGAACGAATATTATTTCCTCTATTTAAAAAAGAATGCCATTATTTCATTTTTAGTCTGTTTAAAAAAGAATGACTTATTTTCTTTTTTGGCAGCACTTTGACTTTAACTTTACACCTGACATATTTAAGATCACAAGATTAAAAGATATTTTGGTACATTTAATATAACTTTAATTTAGAACCACAAGATTAAAAATCTTTTTTTGCTTAAACTTCATTCCAAGTCAAACTAGGTCATCCTTTTTTAAACGGAGAAAATAATAATTTGCCATGACTAAATAATGAATAATACTCCATCTGTCTCTAATTACTTGTCCACTCTTGAAAAAACACACCTATTAAGAAAATAATTTTTGATATGATAAATTTATCATTTTACTACCTATTAATTATGAAGTGCATAAATTAAAAATTTAATATTTTTAAAAAGTTTTACCTTTTGAAAAGTAATTAACAAGAGTATAATAAAATATATTTTTTATTCTTTTTTAATTTAGCAAAATAAAAATAAAAATAATTATTAAAAAAAAATAAAAATAGACAAGTAAATAAAAATAATAATAAATTTATTACTACTAATAATTAATATTGGGATTTGGTGATATCAGTGTGTAAGAAGACACGTCACGTGCATAAATTTTTTAAAAAAATGAAAAACAGTTGCCTTGACGTGTTAATTTTAATATTTTCATTGGTGTGTTACACGTCGAATCTCTTAAATTTGGTCTTTTATGCTGGTTTCACTTATAAATATATTATATTTTTCACTGACCTCTTTAACCCTGAGTAATTTGTTTGCTTAATTCGTTCCTCCTTTTTGATCTCTATAGCCTTTTGCTTAATTCATTTTTGGACTCTAATAATCATACTTTGGTGAACTTGAAACTAACGATATAGATTAAAAGATTGTTCGTTAGCTTGAAATCAAAGGGGAAAGTTGATGACTTTATATTTAGTTGATTGCTTCTCTTCAACCTACTCATATTTTATTCAATTTCTATATTTTTGTCTTTGATGTCCATGATTCACGTGATAATGCAAATGACAATTATCATTATATAAACAATGTCCAATAATTTAAAATAATTTTGTGGAAGTTCAACCACTAAATGTTTTGAGGTGACTTTAAGAATATTTACTTGATAGAAAATGGATTTTGAAAACTTTTACTAAGAATATTTATTTAAAATATATATAAAGAAGTATATGAACAAATTAACACAAGAATGGATTAACCACTAACACATGTTTGTTGTTACTACTTGGATTATAAATTCTTCGAATTGCTCCATACACGTTCATTCTCAGTGTATTGCCTTAGCTAGATACTTTTCTAAGATGGAGGTTTATGTATTTGGCTAAAAATAATGTATTGTTATTGTAAAGGTAAGTATTCATGACTTATCATTATTTACATATATTATCAAAATCTTGCTTAAAATATTTGGTTTTGGATTTTATGAAAATTTCAAATACATTTCTGTCCTTTGGGGCTAACCCCTCATGCATACGTTGAGACAAATATTAATGTCCCACTCTAACGTGATTCGCGATATATATATATATGGTTAAGAATAAAATAATTATTTATATCTGCATGCAAGATATGTTCTCCAATCGGACAATCTTTATAATTAATTATGACATTATTCAGAAACTTGCTCATACGATACGGACTATATTAAATTGTCACTTGCCACAACAGTCCATCTAAGAATAGACTAGAAGTATGCAACTAACTGCATTATTTCCAATCAGATCAATAAACAGTGCCATCTTGATTGTCCAAATATTTCCATTATTCTATTTATTTATTTTTATATGTATGGGGTAGGGTGTGCATCGGTTTTGATTTTATATTTTACTTCCTATTAGTTTTTTACTTATAAATATACTAAATCAATAAGATATTTTTATCGATTTTTGATCCTGAATGATTCAGGTTTCACCTTAACCAATAAGAAAATGCTCATAAAATAATCATGTGACTTCTCTAACAATTTCGTTCGACTATAGAAAAGTGGATCACAAATAAAAGAACTAGGACATTAATGTGGATTGACGGCTAAAGGACAAAAATAGTAACCAATAAAGTATTGATATTAATATTTATGTATGAGTAACGTACTAAATTACTGTTGTTGTCTGTTTGTCTTAATGGGTATTGGTTTACTCAATAATTCAATATTAAAAGACCAAAATCGAACCAATAACCAAATAATTTTTTACTGATAAAATCATTAAAAGTCCATTAACCCGATAACATTTTTATTGATTCGATTTATTGGTTAATTCAGTTTTCGCTCAGCGGGGGTCATTTTACATCTCTGATATATATTTATCTATACTTCAGGAAAGTTTCTGAAGGACTCAAAAGAAAAAACAAATGGATCTTAAGCTTGGTTTTTGTGTTCTCTCCCTAATTCTGCTGGTAATTTTCACTCTACTTTCCTCAGTCTTAATAGTTTGTTCAATATTGGTTCTACTTATATAAAGTTTTGATTTAAATGTTAAAGCATTTATATGTATGTTGACAGGTTGCTTATGGAACAGAAGCTAGGAAAATGGTTCAAGGGAACCTACAGGGCAAAAGATTGAACTTCCCAATTCCAGATGAAGAAGTCCAAAAGCCTAATGTCTATTTTTGGATTTATGATAACCAAGGAGAAAATGATCATCACAAAACAGCAGAGAATGTCCAAGTTCATCCATCATCAAATAACAAGAACCTTGTAAATAAGGACGACACGAATTTCAGGATATACCTTAACCAAGGTGAAAATTCTCAGCAGGGCAATCACAAAATCAAGGAAGAGAATGCCCGACTTCATTTATCATCATATAACATTGATCATGAAAACAAGTTTGATAATCACCTATGGATATACAGTAACCAAGGAGAAAATGCTCAGCAAACTCTACAAGAAGTGAGCGACAAACAAGAAGAAAACAAGCATCAACAAGTAAAAACAGCAAAGGCACATATCCATTCATCATCCCATATGGATCATATTGATCCTTCTTTAAGAGTTTTCTTCCTAATAAATGATCTAAAGATAGGGAAAACAATAACTGTCTCCTTCCCAAGAAGAGATCTTTCTTCTTCTCCGAGTTTCTTGCCAAAAGAAGAAGCTGATTCCATTCCATTTTCACAAAAGGAACTCCCAAACCTCCTTCAACGTTTCTCATTCTCTCGAAACTCTCCACAGGGGAAAGCCATGGAAGACACACTGAGAGAATGTGAGGCTCCACATATTAAGGGAGAGACAAAGTACTGTGCCACATCCGCGGAGGCAATGCTTGATTTTGTTCAAGGAATCATGGGAGAGAAAACTCAATTCAAAGCTCTGTCCACAACTCATTTCTCAAACTCAACTCCCCCACTTCAAGAGTATACTATTTTGGATGCTCCTCAAGAAGTAGAAACTCCCAAGATGGTGGCATGTCATACCATGCCTTACGCTTACGCGATTTTCTACTGTCATTACACAATTAGCAAGAGCAAAGTGTTTAAGGTTTCATTAGGGGGTGAAAATGGTGATAGAGTGGAAGCAATTGCTGTTTGTCATTTGGATACTTCTGAGTGGAGTCCATCTCATGCATCTTTCCAATTGCTCGGTATATTACCAGGAACATCCCCTATCTGTCACTTTTTTCCATCAGATAATCTAGTGTGGGTTCCAAAAATCGCCTCTACACAAGTGATTTGAAGAAGCAGTATCTCCATGTCGATAGCAGCTTTTGTTCGCTACTGTTTTATTATTACCTGCTGATGCATGTATGTTTACTAGTTATATTTTCATGTATCTTTTCTGTGTTGTTTCAGTGTACCCCTCTTATTTAGCTTCCTTTCCTGTGGTGAGACCCAAATAAAATAATAAGATTTTCTGGCAATGGAACTTCCACAGTTGATTCGTAGTCTTATTTAAAGAACTTATCACTAAATGCAAGAAGAAAGCATTGCACTAATAGACATGACTATGTCGAGACACCATCATGAATATCGCTTGTTTCATATTTCGATTCCAATTCAAACTAAATTTACAAGATGTAATAGATCTATTGCTAATGATAATTGTGAACGACCAACACACAAATAGTAGCATTCAATTGAAGAAATAACAGTCATGCATTGCAATGAGTCCAACATTAAGTTACATGTGGATTTTTGGATTCAAATCCAGAAGCAATGAGCTATAAAACATAATTTACCAGATAACCTTCTCTTAAGAGGCAGAACAGCTATAACAAAGCAAGAATAATCATAAAAGAGCTCAGATAAGAATTTTGACAAGCTTCAATACTTGACTTCAATGGTCTCTACAAGTTAAAGCCATCGAAGATGCCATTGAGAGAATGTGAAGCTCCACCTATAAAGGGAGACACAAAGCTGCACTGTGCCACATCCTCACAGGCAATACTTGATTTTAAGCAAGAAATCATTCGAGGAAATACCCAAATCAAAGCTATGTCCACAACTCATGTTTCAAGCTCAACTCCCCTCCAAAAAGGTATACTATTTTGGATGCTCCGCAAAAAGTTGAAGCTCCTAATATTGTGGAATGTTGTACAATGACTTATACTTATGCGATTTTCAACTATCATTACACAATTATCAAGAACAAGGTATTCAAAGGCTTCATTCAGGGTGAAGATGGTGATAGAGTGGAAGCAATTGCAATTTGTCATTTGGATACCTCTGAATGGAGTCCATCTCATGTAACTTTTTGAGCGCTCAATATATTACCAGGATCACCCCCTATGTGTCACATTATTCCATCGGATATCCTAGTGAGGGTTCAAAAAATTACCACTCCATGTTGGCAGTAGCTCTTACTCCACTAGTGCCTCATCTGTTAATAATATTTATGCATATTTTTCTGTTTTTCCAGTGTAACTCTTGTCTAGATTTCTTTCCAGCGGCAGGATCTTAATAAAACAATAACTTAATTTGTCCTCATAATGTTTAAAGAGTTTCACAGAACACAGATCACAAACTTAAAAGTGTGGATTGAAAACATAACAGACCTCTTTCAACTGCTGCAAAGCCGCAAGCATGAGACAAGCAATCCAAGGACATCCAGCACTGCCTTCACTTCTTTTTCAATCTTAGTTTAGGACAAAGCATACTCTTGTGGGCTTATCACATAATTATTAATAAGCTTAAGCGCATCTTTTAAAATTGTAGACGTGCGCAAATCATCAGCAAGGTTTGTTTCCAACACATGGCCTTATCGCTAACAACAGATGCAGCCACCCCATTTAGTATTGTTGATGATGACAAGGACCCTGTCACAAGGTTATTTCACAATCATGTAAACTCTGATAAATCTAGAACACAGATTCTGAAGATTCTGAGTTATTCACAGCAGAGCAATAGTGTGACCCCAACAAGAAGTACCTCAATCCAAGGGGATGGTACAATCGAGTATCTTCCTGTACAGTGAAAAATCATCTCCTTATGGTGAGGAAAAATCACGTCAATCCCACCACAATGTACATCAAAGGAATGTGTTAGATAGTGTGTGCTCATTGCACCGCACTCAATATGCCAATCCATTCTTCCAACTTGGTACATCATTCTTTGCAGCCTTACCCAAGGCAAAATCAGCAGGATTTGGCTTTTCTTTCTAATTCCCGTCCAGCAGATAATCAACCACCATACTCCGGAAAACTATCAACGAGAATTAACATCTCTGTCAATCGCGTACCCACAGCAATTAGTCATTATACTAGCAATCAATAATCTGTTCCACACGGCGAAGAGCCGGTGAGATCATCCATGTCTCGTAGAAATTTCCGACTCAATAGACCGGATCATCATTCATCATTTTCCCCACTCTCTTTAGTCCAACGAATTAAACTACATTATCAACAATATCAGTGAAATTGCGGACTTTCAGATACCTGTAGAGAATGTTGCAGACGACATAGGCACGGGCCGGGCATGGCCCATATGGTACAACGCCGCAAACATACATTTTCACCTTCCCTGGTTCCTTCGACTAAAAAAGTTCCACATGTTTCGTCATTGTATTGCACAACCGGACTAGCCATTCCGATCGCCGGTAAATTGTTGCTTGATCGATTTGGCGCTGAGTAAGAAATATATGGTGGGCAGAAAAACCCTAACGCTGTAACAATGCTTTTGGAATTTAGAACTATGAACAAGTTAAAAGATTCTATTTTATTCCCAAATTTCATAGCGAAATATCGGTGGACGTTCAATTCTTCAACTAAATTTTATCAAATTTTGATTGGTTTTCCAATATGTAGTTATGAAAACTGTGCAGCAAATAGTGCATCCAATTAATTAGCAACTTTTAGATATCGCAAATAAAAAATTTATATTTATATATTATAGCAAAGTTTACATAATTGTGCTCCATAGCAAATTTAGAAATTGTATAATTCGCTATACACATACAGTTGAAGCAAATTGTATAAAACGAAGCGTATAAAATAAGAAAGAGAAAGACACTTAGGCGAAAAACTATATAAAAACGAAATGTATAAAACAAATTATATTATTACAAGTGTATAGAACGATTATGTACAATTTGAAATTATATAAAATGAGAAAGAGAGAAAGACAAAAGAGACTTGACAAGGAATATACAATTAAATCGAATTGTATAAAACGAGAAAGAGAGAAATTAAATCAATTTAAAAATTATATAAAACGAGAAAGAGAGAAAGAAACTAGGCGGGAAAGTATTTTATTGTATAATTATAAGTGTATAGGACGAAAATATATGTACTTGCATGTGTATATACAATTTTCTCACGCTTTATATAAACATAAACGCAATTTATACATTTCGCTTCTGTTTGTATAAGTGAGAAATGCGAGGATGACGAGCAAGATTTGGTAGAGTGGCGAGCGAGATCTGAAAGAGGAGAACAAAAATATATATATTTATACAATTTTTTCTGCTTTATACAGTTAGAAATAATTGTTATACACTTATGTTTGTATAAAAAAGTGAGTAAGCGAGCGAGAGATCTGTGAGAGTGGCGCTTGAAATTTTTTTGCAAACGTTTGCTATGGAATACAATTAGATTAAACCCTAACTACTCCATTTATTTTAGATTATTAATTTGCTATATTACATACAATTTTTTCGTAAAATGATTATTGCCTTAATGGGCTCAATTTTTTACATTAATTTGGCTGGATGTTTTTTGCAATAAAAAATAAAATAAGAATAAAATCAAAATATAAAATGTATCTAATCATTAAACACTTTATCATGTTTAAAAGATAATAATAGTATTTATCTTTGACAAGAAAAATGTGCCTCTAGAAAAAAAATGACAAAATTAAATTTATTTATATTAAATTTCTTTTGGAAACTAATATTTGAAGTAAACTATTTAAATATTATATGTATATAGAATAATAAAATTTATTTGATTTCAGAAATTTGAAAAAATAACGTCAATTCCTTGAGTTATGTTTTACATTCAAATGAATTACTTATAAAGTTACATTTTAAAAAAGTACTACTCTTGTATCATTTAATTTTATCTGTTTAATTTCTAAACACATTTTTAAAATGCGTTTCTTTTATGAAGGATGATTAAAAATGCATCTAGTAAAATAGGGAGTGTGATCTGAAATTAAAAAGTCAATCTGGTGTTCCTAAAGTTTGTTGATGAATTTATTCTATTATTTTGCAATTAGCTTGGTGTCATTAAGTTGGATTGATTCTTCTTTTTATTTTTTTAATTTAAAGATTAGCCGGCTTAACGCCAATAGGAGGTCAACAATACTTAATTTAATCAGTGTACACAGAACACGTTCCAGATTCAACTTATATTTATTTTTCTTTTCGTAAAATTGTTTGAACATATATTGTTATAATTTTTTGGATGGTGAAAATTTACTAAAAAGTTGTTTTCATCATTTCTATTTTTAATTATTCATAAAAATTAAAAAAAAATTGTATTTCATATTTAAATACCAGTACAAATTTCAAATATGATTTTCAACTTAAAAATAAATACTACTACTTTTCTTCATATTTCATATTTTTTATGACCAAAGATCACTCACTTGCCAGTAACATCTAAAATGATAATGAAAGAATAACAATAATTTCTAGACATTACCGCTTGGTAGATGATTAAAGTTATTGTATGTATTAATAATATTATTATTAGTTGCACATGATTTAGTTATTCAGGTTAGAGACGAAGCTTATTATATATTGTTAAAATAAATTTATATGTATGTATAGTAGATGTCGAACCCCTTTCGACTATCTATTTCTACAGATTTTGAATTCTCTTATTGAAATTCTGGCTCCGCCTCTGATTCAAGTATTAGTTATTCCACTTTTTATTCCAACATAAAGTGATACAAAAATTCATTTGAGACTTATACGTGAATTAATTATGTGAATTTCTAAATTGCAAATTAACCACTATTCCCTTAATATTATACATAAATAATTTACCACCTCACTAACTACCAAACATTATCCATTACTCATATAGAATTTTTAATAATTGCATAACTCACCTCTAAATCAGCTACCAATCGATGAAAAGTACTTGGGCATCATTACAAATAGCAACTAAACAACATCTAATTAATCAACAAGAAGCTTAATGCTGTAAGTAACTATGTAATTAAGAAACATACCATTCAAAAACAAAAAAAAGACATATAATTAAGCAGAATTAATTTCATGGATCTATAATTTTTCTCCTTTGAGCTTCTTCTTCTTCTTCGTTTTTTTTTCTGATAAAAATGATCATTCTAAGGAGTAGGCCTGGATCTTTTTGGATATATATCAACATCATTATGATAAATAATAATATTAGCCTTTAAATCAAAATTTCTAACAAATTTGTTCCTTTCTATTGGAAAATCTTGATATTGATCATTAAGAAGTTCCTTGAGTGCTTTAGGCATTGGATCTCCATTCATTTTGCTCTTCCAATATTCTTCTGGACCATCACTAATTACATATCCCAACTGAAAAAATAAATAAATAATTAAATCAAATCTAGGAAGACATAAAATTAAATCTGCAAATAATTACTCTAAATGTCTTAGTTTACGTGACACAATTAAAATTTGATAATTGAATAATTTAATTTTAATTATAAATTCAGATATTAAAATTTTTAAATTTTTAAAAATAAAAATACTTATAAAGTAATTGTTTAAATCTCGAAATTTAAAGAGAGAGTAGTGGAATATTAGAGAAGAGGAAGTAGAAGAAGAATTACCAAAGAAAGAGATAGGAGAAGGAAGAAGATAGAGAGAGATCTCATATTGTTGAAAAACTCTTTGAGTTTGTAAAATTTGTATACTTTCTAAATGTCTGACTTACTATTTATAGACTCTCCACAATGACCAAATAAAATATGTTTTTTACACATATTTAAAAAAAAAAACAGGAATAGAAAAAAAGATATTAAAAGAATATGATGTATAGTTCTTCTGATTTCTTAAGCTGTCAGTTTCTCTTTAAAATTAAGAAATAAATAAAAGGGATGAGAATATAATTGTATTAAAATTATTTTAAATATCTATAAATTTTACTAGAAATCAATGAAAATGAATGATTTTTTCATTTATTTTCTGTTAAGCTGACTCATTAAGAAAACGCAAAATGAAAAAACAATTTTTCACGAGAGATTTCCTAATTTTTCCTGAAAACATTTGCACATTTTTTTACTTTTCTTATTGATTCAATTAAAATATTGATGAGATTATCCACACAACATATTTCAACAAAAAGATAGAGTGTGAAATTATATTTTTTTTATAGTGAATTATATTTAAATTTAATTATCATTAGATGTTAACTTGAACCTCAATTCATTAATTATGTCTGACCATTACATAATCGACCTGAATGTCTTTGGAGGGTAACAAAATAATAAGTATTGAGTTTTACGCTGAAGAAGTGACTTCTCTATTCTTAGATGATTAACGCATCTTAGTGATTTAAAATTATTACATGTATCTAGAAAAAAAAATAAACAATTGAATCTTTTTTAGTAAACAACTAATTTTGATTTTTTTTTTAAATTCGGTGAAGCCAAAAAATAAATAAATTACAAACAGCCAAAGTGCAATCACCATAAAAAAAATAATTAAAAAATGTCAAGGTGTAATCATCATAAAAAAAAAGGTATAATGTATAAATATGATTATTAACTTGACATAACTAACAATTATGACCGTACAAGTAGACACTTAAACTTATAGAAAATTAAATAAATAAACGCATTTTCCTACATGACAATTTTGTATTCTACGTATACTATGTCATGTAGGACACATATATCCACTTGTTCAATTTTATACAAGTTAAGTGTCTACTTGTGTGCACTCAAAGTTAAAGAACATAATTATCTGCTGAAATCAAACTAAGAATCATATTTATATATTATGTCTCCAAAAAATAATTAAAAATGACAAAGTGTAATCACCATAAAAAAACAGAATTTAAAGGAAAAAACAACCAATCTAAAAGTGTAATAGCTAGAAAAAAAATTATTTCAAAAAAATAAAGGATAATATTTCAAATAAAAGAACTAGACATTTATTTGAAAATTTTGCTACAAAATAATCAATTTCGAGGTCTATAATTTTTGTATGATCAAGAAGAAGAAAATAAAAACTGCCAAAATGTAATCACCCCAAAAAAATGTTTTATTTTTTTTAAAAAGAAGCTAAACAGAGTCTAACAAGATATTTATAACCAATTATATTTAGCAAGAAGCATGTAAATAGATTACACCCGAAAGAACTTTTAATTAATCATAAAAATATTTGTTTCCGTGATTAAGTTTGTTCGAACATTCTTAACAAGTTTTTTCTAATTTTATTTATTGTGGGTCCGTGTTAATTTGACATAAAATAATAATGTATTTTGTTATGTTAATATATTTTTAATGACAAATTTAATTTAGTAATTTTATTAATGGAAAAATCTGATTTTATTAACATAAAATAAAATTTAATGACTTTGTAATGACCTTTTGAGATATTAACTCAAAAGATAGGGTTAAAGTTTGACCTCATGATCTCATAAACAAGAACAGGAGAGAAAATAATCAAATCTATTAGCAATTTATTATAATTTCAGTATATCTTTATAAGTAAAATTATGTTCCACATTAAAAATATTAGATTTAAGATAATTCAATTTCAACGTGTTGAATTAATCCACAACTATTTGAAATATCCGCTATTTACTTGGAGAAATGTCCTCCTAATATGAAATGTTTTTTTAGAAGTTTCAATCTTATTAACTATGATAGCAGTTATACTTATAA